CGTCTGAAGGCAAATGTGCCAAATGGGCACGTGAAGGTTGTCTTGGGCTGATCCTCTGGAGCTATAGCCACTTGGTAGTAGCCCGAGAGGCCATCTAAGAAGCAGTAGAACTGGTGGCCCGAGAGACGGTCGAGAATATGATCAATGAATGGCAACGGAAAGTGGTCCTTCTTTGTTACGGCGTTGAGTCGCCGGTAATCAATGCACATCCTCCACCCGGTAGTAATACGGGTGGGGACCATCTCCTTCTTCTCATTTTCGATCACCGTGATGCCCCCTTCTTTGGCACCACATGGATGGGGCTGACCCACTCGTTGTCGGCCACTGGATAAATGAGCCCCTCGAAGTAAAGCTTCAACACTTCCTTTTTCACTACCTCCATCATATTCGGGTTGAGCCGTCGCTGGCTATCTCGAAATGGCCTGGCACCCTCCTCCAAAACGATCCGGTGCATACAAGTGGAAGGGCTGATCCCCTTTATGTCACCTAGGCTCCAACCGATGGCCTTTTGATTCTTCTTAAGCACCTCGATCAGCTCCTTCTCTTCTTCTTGATTAAGCTCGGCAAATATGATAACCGGTTTTTGTTTCTCATCATCGAGGAAAACGTACTTGAGGTGACGAGGCAACTCTTTTAGCTCTAGCGTTGGTAGGGCCTTCGGTCTTGGTTCCTCGACCTCCATTAGCTCAACAAACGGTCCTTCTTCCTCTTCGAGATCGGGCAATGACCTCTCTTCCAACTCTCGAACAGCAATCTCCTCCACAAACGGGTCACTCACATCAATAAAGACGCATTCCTCCACATAGTTCGCCGAAGGGCCAAATGTGGCCTCTCGGACAGAGATAGACACGGACTCGCCTAGGACCGTCATGTTCAAGGTCCCGTTCTTGACATCAATGAGGGTGTTGGTGGTGGCTATAAATGGCCTGCCGAGAAGGATAGTGTGGTCCTTCCCGTTCTCGTGAACGTCCCCCACATCTAATACGACAAAGTCTACCGGGACAATGAGTCTCCCGACACGAACAAGGACATCTTCAACTACCCCCTTGGGGTATCTAATCGAACGGTCCGCAAGCTGAACACACATGCGAGTGGGTCTCAAATCTCCTAAACCGAGCCGCTGGAAGATAGAAAACGACATTAGGTTGATTCCCGCTCCGAGGTCTAGCATCCCCGAAGCTTCCTTTCCATTCCCAAGAGCAATCTTTATCACGAAGCCTCCGGGGTCCCGTTCTTTCTTTGGAAGGCATGTTCTTGATCACGTCCAGGAGAGGTAGGTTGACATTGACCTTTGAGAGCATGTTGTAGAGATCTCGAAACTGTTGCTCTTGCTTCTAGTCTCGGAGTCTACTCGGAAAAGGAATGCGTGGTTTGTAAGGATTTGGAGACTTGTGAAGCAAAGGACTCTCCGTTGGTTTTCCCGAGTCGTTTTCTATGCTCTTCGTACTCTCCTCGGTTTCTTTGGGCTGGTCGGTTGGTTTGAGGCTGTCAGGCTCGGGCATCCTCACTTTGTTGTCCACTTCCTTCCCGCTCCTCAACACTGTTATTGCCTTGGCTTGCTCAGGCTGGCTCGGAAGTTTCCCTTTGTCTGACTCCGCCTCCATATTGCCAACTCTCGTGGCAAGTTGGCCCACTTGCGTCTCAAGACGCTTAATGGACGAGTCCTGGTTGGTGATGAACTGAAGGATCTTGTCTAGCTTGTCATCTTGGTTCGACGAGCTCGAACCGGACTCTTGGGCTTGCTGTTGTGGTTGCTGCTGTTGTTGGTAATTGGGATGAGGGATGAAATTGGGACGAGGTTGTTGTTGCATGAAGTTTGGACGGGATTGCTGCTGGGTGAAGTTTGGGCGAGGTGGCTGGAGAGTGTTGTTGTTGTTTGACCACGAGAAGTGTGGGTGGTTTCTCCACCCAGGATTGTAAGTGTTGGAGAAGGGGTCGTTTGGCTGCCGGTTCTGATATCCTTGGAGAGCGTTGACATCGGCGTATTGCTCTCCAAGGTCCTGATCGAATGTTGACGGGCACACCTCTGACCGGTGCCCTTGGGCTCCACACGCGCCGCATGTATCCACTGCCATGGTCTGGGCTGGCTGCATTGTCCTAGCGTTCATTAGCCTCATTTGCTCCGTAAGCTCAGCTATCTGATGAGCCATCATGTCTTGCCTCGGAGATGCCTCATTCACCACTGCTCTCTTCCCTCGGCTGCTCTTCTGAGACGAGTTGGCACTCATCGTCTCAAAAATCTCATACATCTCTTCGGCAGTCTTCGCACCAATGTCTCCCCCCGCAGCAGTATCAACCATATATTGCAAATTCTGATTGAGGGAGTCGTAGAAACAATTCATCAACAGTCCTGGCGAAAGATTATGGTGAGGGCACTGCCGCTGAAGATCCTTAAATCGCTCCCAGGCTTCGTGAAGGGGCTCACTCGGTAGTTGGGCAAATGAGACAATCTGCGACCGGAGCTCCTGAGTCTTTTGGTGGGAGTAGCATCTCCCAATGAACTTTGTGTAGACTTCAGTCCAGGTGGTCAGAGATGCTGGTGCAAGTGTCATGAACCAGGCCTTAGTCCGGTCTTTCAACGTCTCGGGAAAGCACCTCATCTTCAATTGATCCTCGTTCAGCCCGTTGAGAGGAAAGGTGTTGAGCACATTGTAGAACTCCCGGATGAAGTTAAGTGGATCTTCACTCGGGAGCCCGTGGAATGCCGGTAGCTGGTTATAGTGAATCATCTTCAGCTCATAATTTCGTGCTTGATCCGGCAAACAGATGCACGAAGTGACAGGCCCGATAACCGGCTGGGCTAAGGTTCGGAGAGTGTTACGAGGAGCTTGTTCCTGTTGGTCACCCATGTTGACGTTGCTGCCTTCTGACGATTCCAGAGAGTGCTGGTCTCTTTCTTCGGATTCCAGTGTAAGCTCGTCTAACAGCTCTCTCAGGCTCTCGCTAACTGACTTGTTGATCGGGGATAACAATTTGCGTCCACTCCTGGTACGCATACACTAAACCAACAAGAGTTACGAGCACCAATGATAAAAAGAAAATAAAAACAAAATTAAACAAGGACTAATATCTAACAAATAAAAAGAAAAACAAGAGAAACACTAAAAACAAGATGAATAGGCGCACAAAATAAGTCCTAAACCTTCCCCGGCAACGGCGCCAATTTTTGTTGTAAATATTTTTACCGGAGTAGAACCCAAAGATTCGACACCGGGTCGTCTCACAAGGAAGGTTAGCCGGATTAATTGTACGGATATTCGAACACAAGAAACGAGAAAAGAAATCCTAAACACTCTAATTC